CGGGGGGGTGGCGGCTCACCAGCTCCTACAGCTGGTATGGAGCTCTGCGCCGCGGGGGTAGGAGGTGCCTGCAAACTCGCACGGGCAGTCCTCGGGGGGCACACACTGCCCGCTGGCGTTCTCGTAGAGCCCCTTGGCACAGACACAGCCGGCCTCACACTTGGTGGGCACCTGCAGGGAGGAGGGTGGGTGGCCCTGCTGGCTGCCGCCCCAGCTGGGCCCTTCTGAGACACCCCCAGCATTCTTGCCAGACCTGCTCCCTGCAGCCAGCCTGCTCTGGGCCTCTCTTAGCAGAGCTGCCCCTCCCTGAGGGACTGGTCCAGTGCCTCTGCGTTGTGGCTGGGCTACTCTGTCCCCTCCCCAAGCTGGCCGGGGCCCCCGGCCCACAGTCCTCAGGGAGCCCCACAGATGAGCAACATGGTGGCCAGGCTGCCAGTCACACTCATCACAGGATGGTGGAGATGGGGCACGGCCCCCTTTCCTGCGGGGTGTGTGGAAATCCTCTGTGGGTCATGGAGAGGCTCTGGGGGTGTCCACCATGGGACTGTCCCACCCAAGTCTCCCCATGGCGTCCGCAGGCGGTGGGGATTGCCTTCCGGGGAAGGCTCGTCCCCTCCCTCTGCCCAGCCTTACACAGGGGGTGCCAGTGGCCAACATCTGACAGGTGGGGGCGCAGGCAGCCCCAAATTTGTCCTCGGAGGACTGGCTGCAGGACTGGAATGTCTTGGGGGCCGAGCAGGTTGCTGCAGAGACACAGGGCCCGGGGTGAGGTAGGGGCCGAAGAGCCGGTGCCCGCAGTCCAGCTCCTCGAGCCTCGGCCCCGGCTACGCACCCAAGAGCATCTGAGGCTGGGCCCGGCAGCTCAGGCGCCCGTTGGAGCAGTGGCTGTGGGAGAGAGGCCGTGTGAGTGTGCCGCCCTGGGCTGGGCTGCAGGCGGGTGGCCGCCCGACCCCCTTGCTCACCAGATGACGCCATTGACCATGGTGGACTGGTCGGCCAGGATGAACTTGGAGTTGTCCAGGAGGCAGGGGCACTGGGACTTGCGCACACACTCAGTCTTGTGGTTCAGGTAGGTGCCCTCGGGGCAGTTGCAGCCGTCCACCGGCACGGCGCTAGGGTGGCACTCGACCTCGCGGTCGGACAGCGAGAGGCACGTGCGGTCACAGGCCCGGCTGTCGTAGCTGAAAGTCTGATTGCCCGTGCAGGGGGTGGCTGCAGGGGACCCGGAGTCAGGCCCGCGAGGAGGTGGTCCCCGGCCACCCGCCCGCCCACCTGCCCAGCCGGCACGCCCCCTGCCCGCACGCACTGCAGTTGTCCACGCTGCTCCTCCAGCCCTGGAGCAGGACGCCCCGCGAGGCGCAGGCGAGGGCGTAGTCACCCAGGGCGGCGCAGATGTGTGGGAAGGTCTCCTCGTAGTTGCAGGCCTGGTACACGCACCTCTGCGGGCAGACAGTGGCTGTGGGCGCCCACCCTCCTGCCCGGCCAAGACCCCTGCGGGTGCAGCCCTGTGACGCCCCTGCTGCCCACGGGCCTACCCACCTTGTGGAAGGGCTTGGGGTCCACAGTGGCGTGGCACTTCTCGAATACTGAGCCCTCCTTCACCAGCACTGCACAGTGGGTCTCCGCACATACCTCTGGGGTACAGGCCGGCGTGAGTCAGCTGCCTGCCCGGGGCTCCTGCCCACCCCTTCCCCCCAGCCCCCCAGCGACACTCACTGTTGAGCTGGCTCATGGAGCAGGGGTCAGTCTCACGCTCAAGTGCGGCCGGGCAGTTCCCTGCTCGCCAGGAGTCCACGAAGACCGAGGCAGTGCCCTCAGCGATGCCCATGCTGGTCGTGAAGTCGTCCGTCGTGTCCCCGTTGAAGTTTCCGCAGAGCCCTGGGCCAGCCAGACGTGAGGGTGGGCTGGTCTGTGCCCCTGTCCTGCCCCACACTCTCCGAAGGCCCTTACTCCTGAACCCCGCCCAGTGCAAGGGGCCAGCACTGCGACACCCGTGGGAGGGCCAGATAGAACTGGCCTGGGGCCCAGAGCGCTGGCTGTGCTGGGTCAGCATGAGGCTCTGCTGGGCCCTTCTCTTCCGAAATCCGGGGTGGGGACAGAGCAGCTGGGCTGACGCGGGGCAGACGGAGGAGGGGCTCACCTCTGGTCTGGCCTCTGAAGTGGGGCCCAACAGTGACATACAGCTGGAACACGGGCCAGAGCTGGATCACCAGTTCCAGCCCGAAGGTGGTGACCATCTGGACGTGGGTGGAGGACTGCCTGAAGACTGTGATATTGCCTGAGGGGACAGGGGGCTCAGCAGGGGGCCTGCTTTGGGACCCGCTCAGCGAGGCCCCAGGGCCAGGTGGGTGCTGAGGACTTACGAGTCTTGTACGGCAGCCACTTGGTGTCCCCGTGGTTGGTGACCACCTCGTCCTGAGAAATGACGATCTTGTCCTGGAGGGAGGGAGGCCTGAGTCAGGGGGGG